CCCCAAAACCCCAAAACCCCAAGATGTCAGATACTTATTCTGATTTGATTAATTAATCATAGATTTCAATAAAAATTATAATTTGTTAGTTTAAGGCTTGAGAATAAAAAAGCAATGATCTTTTTTTCAAAAATAATTTAGATTTATTAAAGTCTTTAAATCTACCTCGATATATTAAAAATGGATTAATTTGAGATCTTAACTCTTATTGGAGAGGGGTAAAATTATACTTATAACATATTTATATAGGACATACGGTCAAGTTTTTAAGGCAAAGTCAAGAATAAATGGAAAGATTGTTGCTATTAAAAAGTTTAAAGAATCAGATGAAGATGATGAGCATGTATACAATAAATTTTTAACAAATCTAGGTAAGGAAGACAGTTTTGAGGGAAATCAGAGTCCTTAAGGACAATTGACATCCTCACATTGTATCCTTGCTGCAGGTTTTTAGAGACTAGTAGAAGCTATATTTAGTATTCGAGTATGTTGAGAAAACTGTACTTGAGGAATTAGAGCTCTAAATTGATGGCATGAGCATGCAAAAAGTTAAAGAGATTATATTTTAGCTCCTAAATGCACTAGAATTCTTGCATTCCCACAAAATTATCCACAGAGACATTAAGCCTGAGAATCTACTTCTTGACTAGTATGGTGTCCTTAAAGTCTGTGATTTTGGATTTGCTAGACCTTTGATGAACAACAGCAATGCTATGTATACAGAATATGTTTCCACCAGGTGGTATAGAGCTCCCGAACTTTTAGTTGGAGATGGAAATTACGACAATAAGGTAGACATTTGGGCACTAGGGTGTATTATGGCAGAACTCATTACTGCAGTACCATTGTTTCCTGGGGACTCTGATATTCATACACTTAAGCTGATCTTGGAAACATTGATGAGTCCTTTGACTTAAAAATAGATATAGGCATTTATCCAGAATCCTGTGTATGATGGTATAAATGTAATTTTTACTTTTTTAAATTTTAGTAACTTCCAACTTCAGAAAACGGGCAACACAAATTGAATGAAAATATGGCTGGTGTTGATGAATAAATCATTGATTTTTTACTATAGTGTCTTAAGATTGATCCATCAGAGAGAATGAATACTACTTAATTAATGAGTCATCCAATTTTCGATGAAGATTTCAAAAGTTAATTAAAGGAGAAATTGCAAGAACATTAGAACAATTATTCCAAAAATCAATCTTAGAATATTGTATTTGATGAAGAAAATATCTATGAGCAAGAAATAGATAAAAAAATTTAACTAAGATAGAGCTATGCTAGATAAAAAGTGGAAACCTAAAACTCTTTTAGATAAGCTTCATTTGAATACCCTTTAAATGAAGAAATTTAAGAGGAGGACCAAAGTGATGCAACAAATGAGCATTCAAGGACATAGTCTATTGTATGTGATATGGAGCAGCATAGAAAGAAGAATTCGTAAAGCTTGATTGATAACGAGTATAATGATAAATCATTTGAAGTTATGAATGAGAATCAAAGTAGAAATGTGAGCAAGTACCAAATTAATCCAATATTCTAGAATAAAAAATCTACAAACAGTTAAAGCATAAAAAATGAAAATCTTAATAGAAATAGCTCACAAGACTACTTTTTGAATAACTCCGCCCTTGGTGGAGTCAAGAAAATAAATATAACTTTTGCAAATTATTTGGATAATCAGAAGGACTAACCTTCTTCTCCAAAAATTAAAATTCTTCCGTAAAATGATAGGAAAAATAGCAAATAAAGTGGTGGTGGTGGTGGTCATAACACCTTCTTGAGAAAACCATCTTCTTTTATGAATCAAACAGCAAGAGATATAACACCTGTGAGAATCTAGCAATAGAAGCATGAGTTAGTAAATAAACCAACTTTAATAATGAAAGGAGCTTCGAGTTTAGAGAAAATTGATATCATTCAAAATTTTGAATCACAAGCTTAAACTAGACTACCTACTATGAAACTTATGGAATTGAAAAATCCAGAGAGCAAGATTACATTCTAGCAAATGAATCATAAGCCAAGCTATGCTTAAAGCAATTTCTAATCTCCGGTTAAAATGCTTGCTTTTCCAAAGTTAATAGATCAAATAAAAGACTCAGAGAGCCAGAAATCGTTTATAAACTTTTAGATCCCAGAGTAATATAAATATAAATCGAATTTCGATCATAATCAAAGCATGATAATCACTGGAAATGACAGTATATTACAATTAAGATAAAATATTCCAGAAAATTCTAAGAGCAAGTATTAAAAGCATAGCAATACTCTAATTAATAAGTAGCCTACTGCAGCTTCTAACTATGAGATGGATTAATTTCCTCGCAGAAGCATTACAAACAGGCTAAAGAATATTCAAGCTCTACAGAATAAGAAGAAAATGCGAGTATTTAATAACTTGTCAAACGATAGAAGCAATATAACGGTTTTGCCTTAGATATATGGAGCTTAAGGTAATAATAGGAATGAATATTAAAGTAATAGCAATTAGTAGCAGCAGTAATCATTATAAAAATAGAACCTAGATAATTCTCATCTAAGCAATTCTAACATTAGGATTATTGATATATAATAGAATGTGATTAATCATGGCAGCATGGTGCTACCTAGAAAGAATGACCATTCGGTAAGTTATTGCAAGTTATTAATATAATTTTAAGCTTAATAAGAAAAGAAATCTAGCAGGAGGAGGTGGATTTAATCCTAATTTAGGCTAGGAAGTTTATGATAATTAAGGCTTTCACTATCATCATAAATCACCACTTATCTAAGAGAGGGGAAATAGGTAAGTTATAGATAGGAATTTAATATAATTAAAAAAGATATCAACCAGCAAAGGGCGGCGGAGGATCACTCAAGTTTAACGTTATAAATAATCTACAGCATTATCTTTGATTTTGAGTTCGGATTGGTCTTACATGCCATACCTTAAGACAAGTATTTTTTTCATATATACTTATATAATTTGAACGAGTTTTAACTTAAAATGTTGAATGCTTGGGGTTTTGGGGTTTTGGGGTTTTGGGG